CACTTGTACAAGTGCAAAGACAAAACTGCAAGCGGCAAAACACAGTTACATAGCCAAAAACAAATTAACAAAAGACGGCTGCACGTGTGACGTCACCATTACCCAGCTTGGTACTGCCATCTGGTCCGTATCCCGTAAAAGTTCCAGAGACCACAATAAGGGCAAAACATTGTTCGGTTAGCGTAAACTTAAGAAAAACAGCTTCAGTGCAATTCTTTCCATCTAAAATCGCCACTGACTTTTCACGTGAAGCAGGAGGACTACAGATTGAGCTGTTTGTACTACAGGTCAGGGTAATCGTGACGTCACATCCTGCCACTGGGACATTCCCTTTCCGTGTAGCCGTCTTTTGTTAATTTGTTTTTGGCTATGTAACTGAGTTTTGCCGCTTGCAGTTTTGTCTTTGCACTTGTACAAGTGTTTCCGAACGGTCAATTTTTTTTAGATGTAAATTTGTTACCCTATAATGTATTTTTTTTTCTCTAAAATGAAACTTTCTCTCACCTAAAATCTAACTTATTAAAAATGTGAATTTGTTTCCTAAAATGTAAATTTGTTTTTAAAAATTTTAACTTTTTTTTTCAAAAATACATTTGTTTCATAAAATATAATTTTGTTTCTTCAAATGTTATTTTGTTTTTTATTTGTTAATGTGTTTTTGAATTGTAAATCTGTTTTGCACTTCTCAGCCACCGTACCTTTACAGGCTGGACATTTAATATGTAGACCACAGGTGACCAGTGTAGAGAGAGGTACAATATAAATTAAAAATTTCCACTTTTACCACATCAGTACATGCAGAAAATTCCCGAGCAGGGGCATTAGCTAGTGCATACAACATTCTACATTCTCTATACTGTAGAGATATCATCATGATCTGACAGATTCTCTGTGATGATATGCCAAAGATACTTGGTTGTATTAGTAACACCCAGCACAGTAGTTGGCAGATGAAAACCTGGAAACTGAATAGATGAATAAAGTAGAATATTTTATTCTGTATGCGAGTCATTTCACATACAGATTTAAAACGCGATTCATTTCTGAATAGCTTATTGTGACAGGCTTAATACCTGAAAGTAATTGCTCAATCATGTATACTACTGTTGTTCTGTGCTGTAGAAGATAATTAAAATCTAAATGCAAAAAGTTTGCTATTTGAAAAATTGGCACTACACAAAACCAAAAACACAGTTTTTTACATGTAAATTTGATAACTAAAAGACTGAAGGCCTCAGTCCAAAATTTGATTAAAAAAAAAACTTCAAGTGCAAAGTGCAGTTCCTGTCGTCTAATTGTGTTTTTTGTACTCTTAGAAGAGCCTTCTGGGTAGCTTCCAAGTGATAGATATTGGAAAACCTCATCTCACTTTAACAGGTCCATTGCTAGAAAATTTTCTCTGTGGTTCGCAGTTTACTACAGTATGCTATTTTATCAATGTCTATGTGAATGCACTTCATCAATATTCCATTTTTGATGAAGCATCTCTCAGAAAACTTGTCTTCATGATCACTTCTTAAAAATATCTGCATCTGTTCGACTGAACAGTTCTCCATACCAAGGTCTGACCTGATATGCGTTGGAGTTCCGCTTCTGTTTTTCACTTCATCAAAAAAGTATCCAGCTATAACCCTGGGATTACTACTTGTGGAGTAAGCATTCAGCCATATGACCAAACGCGAAAATCTGTCAACAGCTCCATTAATACAGATTCTGTTTGGTTTTTGATATGAATCAACAAGCAGCATGAATTTGGGACCTGGGTTTCTGTATAGACGACATTTTAAACGATGCTGACGCCTTAGATGTACTCCTTGAGGAGGTAGGATTTTCAGGAGGTACCGGTGGACTGTTCTGTGGGACACCAGCAAGCCAACTGGAATGCATTTTCAGATGGATTATGGGATGCCATAAAGCATCCCGTGCTGGTTTAAATGCACCCGCAGTAACAGTGCAACTTCCAGCAAGTCAGAGTAGAGTGGGCTTTTCGCCTAAACAGTCCTAAGAACTTAAGGTGCCTGCACATTGCTGAAAAACTAAAACTTATTTAATCTACTTTGAGGAAACTCAGTACTTTCCTGTGTCGTATACCTAAAAAGAAATAAAAGCATATTAATCTGACAACCCATTCATTGTTCACGTTTCATGTAGCGTAGCTCAGCAATGACTGTCCATCCTGATGTCCTAAATATGACATATTTCCTCATTATTATGAGATCTTATCTCATAATAACAAGATAAGATCTTAAAATATTGAGATCCTGATCTCAATATTATCTCGTTATTATATGATCTTTTCTCATAATTACGAGATGTCAGATCTTTTTTTTCTTTGGTGAATGCAATCTAAACAAAAGGAACATCAATAAGCTGACAGTATTCACAGCTGTATTATAATCAGGTGTTTTCTATGTGCACTATTATCTACGCTGGCTATCACCTCACAGATTTGTTACCGGTTGGCGTAAAATGCGAACCAACCAATGAGCAGAAGTTGACACAGCCCCTCCTCATTTGTATAATTAGGGAGAAATGCATACAGTAATGTAAAAACCACAGGCAGAAATAAATAGCATTGAATAAATAAAGAGGGTAAAAAAATAAGAAGGAAGAATAAAACAGTCAAAAATATTACAACATGCACATAAATAAATACTTAAAATAAAGAAGTAATTAATAAATGAAGTTGAAGATTATAACGGACAATGAATAGATAAGTGAATTATTACAAAGGCGAATAAATAAAGAAGCCAATTAAAAGAGATATATATACATTTATGTCTCACTGTATAATTTAATTTTTACTTACATTTATTTGTTTATTGTATTTCTGGGGACAATTAATTATATGCTTATTTCTTTATTGAGCATTTATTTATTTCTGTATTTATTTTTAAAAATGGTAGAGCTGGTCCTCCATAAGTACTGCCTAAAAAGTGGATCAGACAGCTGCAGCTGATCCAGAACGCTGCTGCCCGTGTCCTCACTAAGACTAAGAAAGTAGAACACATTACCCCAGTTCTAAAGTTCTTATGCTGGCTCCCTGTATCTCAGACAATAGACTTTAAAATAGTTATATTAGTCTATAAATCTCTGAATGGCTTAGCACCGAAATACATTACAGACCTGCTATCAGTGTATCAACCCTCCAGACCACTCAGGTCTTCTGGCTCCAGCCTGCTCTGCATTCCTAGAACCAGAACTAAACATGGAGAAGCAGCATTTAGTTCCTATGCTCCACTTATCTGGAACAAACTTCCAGAAAATTGTAAAGGTGCGGAAAGCCTGAGTTCCTTTAAATCAAGACTAAAAACACATTTGTTTAGGATTGCCTTTGACTGTTCTTCTTAAAACAGTTCAACTGAAACATAATTAGTTCATTATTTTCTTTAGTCCAACTGTTTTTAATGTTCTTTGTTGTTTCTGCATTTTTTATTTTATTTATTTATTTCTTACTTGCTTGAATTCTGTTTTATTTTCCTATATTTTAATCATGTAAAGCACTTTGCATTGTCTTTGTACTGAATTGTGCTATACAAATAAATTTGCCTTGCCTTGCCATAGAACCATTTGTCTGTTTTCAAAAAAAAAAAAAACACACAACCGGGAAAATCAGTTCAATATTCAGTGAGTTAAAGTTGATTAAAATAGATTCTGTGCCTGCTCAACACATGTGACTGTGCGGAGCTGTCGACCTCCCCAAGATGGCGCCACCATATTGATCGATGCGAGGTCTCCTCTCGTGGATTACGCCACACGACTGAGTGGACTACAGCGGAAGTGACGTCGCTGCTGTTCCGGTAGGTGTGTTTGCTTCACTAATTTGGGTGCTGTGTCCAAAATCGCGTCATTGCAGCTGAGTTCTGAGCAGATAGTGTTTTATAAATGAAGTTCCGGATATTTTCCTTTGTGAACTGCACCATGTTAACATAGCTTAGCCTCCTGTTTGTAGTGAGCTACATGTTAGCATGGACAGCTCCTGTCAGCAGCAGGAGGAGAGGGAAACGTTGTTCTGGGTCAGGTTAGAGGACAGGTTGCTGCATTACTGTTAAATCATCTACGTTAGTCTAAAGTATGATTCCTTTTTTAGCTCATTTCCACAACATTTATTAAAGTAACAGCTTTGTGTGTTTTTATTTAGTTTTTGCTTCTGTAACAGTGCAATCACTTCATTTACAGCTCTATTGATTCATTCCCTACTGTTATGCATTTACCGGTCCTTTGATTGTGCTGCTCAGCTCTCAATCAGAGGAATATTGATCTCCAAACTGGTACAGAGTCTCTTCTTCGATTTCAATGCCATTTTAGTGAATGAACACCTGAAGAGGTGCTGGAAGTCGTAGCCTTATATAGAGTAATCTGGACAGTAACTATCCAGGTTTTCATTTCTCTGCATCAGGTTTGTGAGGATACTTTATGATCATTTAGTGAAGTTAAGAACATTTGTGGAATCTGACGTGGTGCACTCAAAGGAGCCAACGATTGTAGAAAAGGTAAGAGAAATTGTTACATGAGGTCCAATTTGAGGTTGACCAGAGGTCAGAATAAGCAAAACCAGAGATTTTAGTTTAATCTGCGGATTTTACTTCCAAAGTCACAGAGTCCCAATAAAAAGCTCTTTAGCTCCAGTCCAGCAGAACCATGTGGGGGTATGGACCCGCAGAACTTCCACAGTGTGTTGAAACACTAACCTGGGGCCACAGACACTTTAATAAAGGAAAAGTTGATACGCCTAGATTAAATAGACTTTTTATTCTACTGTTAAAATGTCAGAGACTGGAGAATGAAGCTAGTAGAAGTGATGAGAGGGAGATTAAATGAAACGGAGTCCAGAGAGAAGAGGAATATGTGAGGAACCAGTGTGCTGAGTCAACAGCAGCATGTCCACAGCATGAGGAATCAGGAACTGGAGGCCAAGAATATCAGGACAGGAAACCTAAAGAGACAGAGACAATTTATACAGTCCTTTAAATAAAAGAAGCCTGATAGACCTCATTCCCCTGATACCTCCCAAAAAAGTTATTGTCGATTGTGGACAGGACTCTGCAAGCTGACTAAACTGTCCTAATGGACCATTCTGTGTGTCCTCATGTCCTGATGTCTTGATACCTTTGTGTCTTGAGATCTTCATGCCTTGATGTCTGCTATTGAGAAAACTGCTCCTGCCTTGAAAGAAGGCTCACTTGAGAAGATCAATTTCTTTATCTTTCTGTATGAAAACTGAATGATACCCTTATACAACTGTTTAAAAACATGTTTAAGTGGTATTAGGGCAACTATTGCTATCAGTTCTACATATTTATCAAGTGTTGTGTGCTTTTAATGTGGCTTCATCTAGCAGTACTTAAAAGCACAAAAGAAGGGCGTGCAGGTGGGGCAGCGGTTAGTGCGCACGACCCATGTACGGAGACCTTAGCTCTCGATGCGGGCGACCTGGGTTTGAATCCGGCCTGTGGTCCTTTCCCGCATGTCTCTCCCCCTCTCTCATAACCTCATTCCTGTTGCAAAACATCTCTTGCTGATTGCGAACTCTATCGAGTATTGTTTCCTTGTCACTATAGAAGCTAAGGTGGGCCCACACATTAGATTTTAAAATTGATGGTGCGTCCCTCACATTTTTTTTCTCCGCTGTTTGCTAATCCACTATCTTTTGCCGTTTTAGTTGTCTTCTGATATCCAGCAGCTCCCCCAACACAGTCTTTTTTTCTATATCCGACAGGCTATACGCTCTTTCTAGCTAGCCTACATTATTTTGAGGCTGGAAAAATTGCAGTTGGCTTTGTTTAAATAATCTAGTTATAATGTGTGTATGCATTCTGTCAAATATGTTGATAATGTGCTGTGAGACAAAATCCTGGGATATCTGGTTTCCTTGGTGTGCGATGTCATTGTTTTATAGCGCTATGTTCTTCTCTAATGTTGTTAAATTTGTCCCTCCCTCTTTCTTTTATTGCCCCACTCTTTGGTAACAAACTGTTTGAGTTAAATCCGCCTCATATATGTAAACATTTTGATTAGTTTTTTCCCCTGGTGGTTTTCTGTTCATCCTAATTGGCTCCCTGATAGAAATATCTCTAAATCTAGGATGGCTGCCATTTGTTACCTAGAATGGAGTCGGGGAGATGAATGTTGTCCTGTCTCTTCCAGTGTCCGTATGGCGCAGCAGACTCCAGGACGGCGCTGCATACGAGCGTTCATCAGTGGGTTCTTCGTTGCCGTTCCTGTCACAGTTACTGTCCTGGATAAACTGGCCTATGTGGCTCGAGTTGAAGGCGCTTCAATGCAGGTGAGACGTGATGAACAAACCTGTCTTCTCTCCCACAATGAACCCTCTAAGACAACTCTGACTTCTCCATCTGCGGGGAATACCTGATTAAATAATGAGAGCAGGCAAAGTAAAACATGAAAACAGGTTTTAGATCGCCAGGTTCCTTCCTTGGGTGTTCAGGTACCTGTGGACGGGAAACAAACGGCTTGATCTTGATGAATTATAATTCACTGTAGAGTTCCTGACCCTGGATGGTATTTCTGTTTTTAGATTTTAACTGTAGTAAAATTAATCCAAAATACTGATCACATTGAACTAATCCCAAACCTACTGGCTGGGATCTCATTTCCTTATCTTCTTCTTTGTTTGAGTTTGTCGTTGGGTTCCTCTCTGTTCATTTGCTTTTCTCCCTCTGCTCTCACTCCTTTTATTGTTCTCAGTTCTTCCTTATGTCGCCACCTGATCACCTCCACCTGTGAAACCATACCTTTCTGCTCACTGTAGTTATTAGCTGTCTGGTTGTTTTGGGTCAGTTTTTTGTTACTGTGCCCGTGGTCATAAGTTTTCTTTTTAACTCTTCATCTTTATTTATTGTTGAGCCATTTGATTTACCTGTTGGGCCCAGGTTCCTGTACGTGCTTTGCTCCTGCAAACAGTCTGCTCAACTTGACAGAAGAACCCAGCCAATAGGCTCAAGCAGCAGGAAATTTGTTGGTCCGTCAACAAACCCTCTTGTCTGAACTAACTTGTTTTAAAGAAGTCACATTATTGCCTGTAAATCGGACAAGAAGCTTTGCTGTAAACTGTGTCTTCTGGAGATGAAAAGATGATGTAAAGATCCTGCCTTCTCCCCTTTAGCCCTCAGCCCATTGGCGGAGCTAGACTTAGTTGTTGTGGGGACCCGGTATTTTCACGGTTCCCCAGACTATAAGAAAGAATTGGTTTTTCAAATAGCCATGTGTAATTGCCGTTTCTAAACCTTGAATGCATTTAAATACATATAAGGATCCAATGACACTGGGTTGTAATTTATAGTTTATGCTGGAACCACGTTGGCAGTGTTCCTCCATTTCTCCCCCCATGGGTCTCCTCTTCTTCATCCCCTATTTGTTCATTGTTGGCAAAAATCCAAAGCTGTGCATTCGTCCCTTCAGCTGGTATGGAGTGTTGTTCATGATGTTCTAAGTTCAGCTGTTTATGTATGGCTGGTTTAAGAATGCACTGAAATTAAAAATCTTGGTCAACATATTAGGAAACAAGGGCAGAAAGCTGAAACACTGAAAGAAGTTATTGTCAAATATTAAAATCAGCATTATTGGCTACGATGTGTCCTAACTCTACTTAAAAAAATTATATAATTTTTTTTAAACACAAGACAGATTAATCAATTATAAATTATTCAATATTTAAAAGTACCAGAGTATTTATTACCACTGACATTTTTTTTAATGCCCTTTAACTTGGCAGAATCGCTGGGAAACTTTCTTGAGTTTTCAAACATGTCGGCCACACGGTGTATCAGAGATGGCCAGTAAGCTGAGTACAGGGCAGTGGTAGGCTGTGAACGTTGTCATTTTATCCTGAATGTGATTAAAACAAATGGTTGGCACAGGAAAAGGTCGAACACCATCAAGGCACAAGAAGCTGAGGAGTATTAATACCTGGGTGTTCACCTAGACCACAGTTTCTCTGTGGCCCCCAGGGGAGGTTGCCAGGGGGCAGAAGGGGGGCCCTTATCAATTGAAAGAAATCTGTGCTGAGTCTCTTCAAGTATCTGACTAGGAACTCTTTGATGCTTATATTTTTATCTTATTTACTCCAATAACTCCAAACCAAGATGTAACACCAGACTCCTTTGTTCCTGAACAGCCATTCCTTAACCCAGACGTTGGGGGCCAGTGTGATGTTGTCCTGCTGAATCGCTGGAGTGTGAGAAACTACCAGGTTCAAAGAGGCGACATTGTATCTGTTGTGTGAGTAATTCCCATCAACCATTTTTCTTTTTCTTCTTTAATAAAGCTAATTAAATTAGGGATAGTTAAGTAAAACTAGATGTAGACCATTGAAAACCTGTCATTTATATAGACCATGTCTCTAGCATGCTTTTTTTTAAATTAATCGAACCTGCTGTAAAGTATGAGAAACACAACATCCTTTTATTGACATTTCTTGTCTATAAAGTAGGGATGCAATGATCCACATTTTTTCCCCTCCCACCCTGATCCCAGAGTTTGGGCTTCCACCTATATGATACTTTTCTAATACCATAGCTCTGTTTGCTTTAATGTTATTCTAGTCATTATAAAGAGGCAGTGGAGACGAGTTTTAAACAAAATGGAAGATAGAAGAAATAATGTTTGACCAAGGTTGCAGTTGAGGAATGCTCTTGGTTTATTGTAGCTTTAAAAAAAAAAAAATAAAGTTTTTAATTTAGCCCTAGAAGGATTGTTTTGTCATCCTACCCCAGCTGCAGACAGTGGACAGCCACCGCCTTCTCCTCCCTGCCCTAGTGTTCTTGTCTCCCTGGTAGGCTTCTCTGATTTACAGCTGTCCTCCTCCGGTCCAACTGCACCCTCTACCCCACCTTTAGTCATTTTGAGTTTTATCTCGACTGTATAAACTTAGCCTATATTGACACATGTATCTACATTTTATTGCTCAGTTTGCCATTGATTATAAACATGTTGCTGTTTGTATGCTGTTTGTATGTGAACCAGTTTGGAAAGATGTCCTGTGGTTTATAGTGGTGTAGACTCCGCTTCAAACCTCAGACCTACAGCACCCTAGTGAAGAACAGGAGCAGCATCTTCTTATGGATATTTTCTTGGCTGATGTTTGTTACTATTCACTTATATGTATTGATGTGCTTATTTTATTTTAGATCACCAAAAAATCCAAAGCAGAAGATCATTAAGCGTGTTATTGGCCTAGAAGGAGACTTCATCAGGTAAAGAAAGATACTCATTTCTCCTCACATTAAACAATTGAACAATCAGCTGAAGCTTGCTAATATTCTGTTGATTTGAAAAGAAGAAGTCACCATTTTGTGTTTGTCCAGATGAACTACTGTTGTGCTGTTTTTTTTCAAGGAAATTAACGTATGTTTGAAGGTGTCTGAAGGTGAACAACAAAGTGTTGACTGGTTCTATTTGTGCTAAAAAAAATTTTGTCTGTGTGGGCCTAATTTTTAAGTTTCTAATATAACTTTCCATGTGTCATCAAAGGTCACCCTCCACCCCACCTTAGAGTAATGCACATGAGACTGGCATTTGGGGTGACCACCTCCCTATGACACACGATTAACCCATAGGATGCCCCTGGACAAATACATCCTGCCTCGCCATAAGGCCTGGGGATGAAGGCAAGTCCATGTCACCTAGTGTTCTAGTCAGGACTACACCAATAAAGACCAAGGAGAACTGAGACCAAGACAAGTCCAAGACCTTTAGAGGCCCAGACCAAGAACAACAATTTATAAGCCCCATTTACACTGCTCTTTTGAAACCTCACAGAGAACGGTCAGAGTACGGTAACCGAGATAACTGTTTAGTGTAAATGGAACACAACTGAACTGGACCGTGTCAGACACATCCGTACCACGCTAAATCTAGTACTAGTTCAACAGTAGGACTCGGCATGGTTCAGTTGTGACCTGGTTTTCTGATAACAAAGAATGCATGAGCGGCCCACGTCATCTCCTTACAGTCAGCTCACTCATTTCACAAGTTTTCAGGCGTGTCTGGCTTTGTAATTCACTGATCTCCTCACCTGTTCACAATACAAACTTCTTCTCAGCCTTTTAACCATAGATGGCATCAAAACAGCGTGGTGCTACCTGGGATGATGCAGAGACCAAGTCTCTCATTGAAATTTAGGTGTAGGACACTATCCAGGCACTTAAGTTCCTGAATGTTATGGATGCGGCCATTTTTATTTGTGTAATTCCTGCCTTGAGAGCTGTAGCATCATGGGCCGCTAATGGGCGACGAGGAACCATGCTTGCATGATGTTTAAATGATTGTTAGGAACCAAGCTCTGCACGGTTAACTGATCCAAGCTACGTCCGAACTCTGCACCGATCAGTTTCTGAGGGGTAGTGTAAATGGGGCATATGTGGTCTTGATCTCGGCCTCTAAATATCTTGGCATTTAAGGTCTTGGTCTTGTCTCGGTACTCCCTGGTCTCGTTTGGTATGGTCTTAACTACAACATTAGTGTCACCGTATTCATGCAACACCTGTGCAGCCTGTTCAGCTTGCTCTGAAAAAGACACAGAATCAGCAAACCCAAGAGCTCGACACAAGTTTCTGAAATCAATTTGCTGGAAGGTTGATGTGGGGAAACCACCAGCCCAGCCTGAATCAACTCACAAGCTGGAGTATGTTGTCAACCCTGTGTACAGATGGATGAGTCCTTGTAGTCGAGTCCAATTGCATCCAAGGAAAAGTGGTAATTTGTCACAGGACCAGGCAACTCTTCACCAAGTTGACCTTGAGATCCAATGTGACATATGGTCAAAAAGGAGGCACGCATCTCAGTAGACTTCTGCCCTAGAGCGTGAGCAAAGAAGCAAGTTATCCAGGTATGGAAGAGCCCTAATGCCAAAGTTCTACAGAGGAGATGGGACACTTTCCTGCACTTAGTAAACAACCTCTGTGAAAAAGAGAGACCATATAGGAGCATCCGGAATTGCCAATGGCAACTCACATAGGAAAAACTCCAGAAAACTGTGATATTCTGCTGAATTATGCACATATGCGTTAACTGCGACACACGCAGACGACCTGGTTTCTAAGCGTAAACCAGGCTTGAGCCTGTCTAGCTGGACGCAGGCTGGTGCACTAAAGTTCCAACCAGATCTCTAATACTAATAGGTTATTGAGCCTGTAGCCGAACAATGGGGCTAGCATAAGAATGCCTCCAATTCAGGGGGGGCATACCCCTCCAGAGGCCTGAAAGGTGCTGCCTAGTCGGGTGCACCTGAACAGTTCTCTCCAGTGCTTTAGGACACCTGATCTAAACAACTCCCCTGGTACAACTAGGACACCCCTGAGGGTCCTACAGCATGCTTGTGTCAGAGGCGACTTGGTTATCAGTGCTAAGACTTACAATGCTACGACACTAAATGAAACTGCCACAGTCGCATCACCAGCATCCTAAAATTATGCAGGAAAGGCAAACATGATGTGTTCAAAGGAGTTGGCAGGGTGGCCAGCACACACTCCTGAATTGAACACCTTACTGAAGGGGTCATCTGAGACTTGACATTGGGTTGTGGGCATTGAACATCAGGAATCAGCCATGCATCCGGTGACACAATTAAGAAACAACAGCAGGTTAAACCGCTGACATATAGTCCAGGCCTGCCTTGGTTGATTTAGGCATGACAGAGAGCACCCAACCATCAGTGGACAGATGTGACAATGCCTTAGGGTCCCACCAAGCGGCATAAAACACCCTCTGATACTCCTCTGAAGGAGACAAAGAATAGGGTGTAGGAGCATGTCTGCACCCAAAAAAGGGCCTCAGGGTCATACACGACATCTTGCAGTTCTTAGATGGAAAGGAACCACTCTCAAAGGCTCTAGAGGACCAAATTTCTTGTGTCTGTGACAGAGCATCTGTTTTTCTCAGCAGAGTCGCTTAGCCAACAGCTGAGCTATGAAAGTTGTGACTGTCGGGATCAGGAATAACATGAGCCTTTCCATATGGTCAGGATTTGTTTACCTGTTTTTTTTATCTTAACCCGGTAGTTGCTGGTTTCACGTGCTGGTTGCGAACAAACAAATAGAATACACAATAGGTTCATTGAAAATCTCTTAAATATTGTCCTGAGCAGTTGCTGGTTATAATTATTGTTGATGTACTGATATTTGTTTTGCTCTAAACTTTCCTGCAGGACCCTGGGGTACAAGAACCAATATGTTCGGGTCCCTGATGGTCATTTCTGGATTGAGGGGGATCATCGTGGACACAGTCTGGACAGCAACAGCTTTGGCCCGGTACAAATAAAGAGTCATGTGGTCCATATGGTTTGAGAGAGTCTGTTGGGAGAAATGACATTAATTTAACTGACTTAGAAATGGACAAAAGTGTTACATCACTGTTCATATCTTTTGTTCTTTGGCAAACTTGGGTTAACTGATAGTCTAAAATCTGAAAATTGAAAACTATATAATCTCTAAAAAATCTAAAGACAATCAGCTTTTTCAGAAAGGTAAATAAAAGTAAAGCAAAAACGTCAAAGACAGCATTGCATCATTTGATAACTTTCGTTAAGGATATACCTTGTATATATACAATGTATGTAGATATCTATAAAATAGAATCTGATGGAAAGGCAGCCAATTGAGATTAGTTCAACATCATAATCATTGATAAATCTTTTAATGAATTTGCTTTCTTGAAAGTATTATCAATACACACCGCCTGGCCAAAAATAAAGGGGTGCCAGAAGAAAGTCCCTTGACTTTGATTGTAAAAGAGAAAAAACTTTGATTTAGAAGATCAGCTCTCTATGAGGACAGGACTAATTTTATTATTTGAGCAACACATCTTTTTTCAGCTGACAAAATATTTTCAGCGATGCCTAAAAGGAGTTAGCCTGACGTAGTCCTACTCAATTCTAGTCAGAATATGAGTCTGATACTGCTCCATAGAGCTGTGATTATGGGGCGTGTTTCTAACGAACCAGGAAAAAAAATGCCTCTGCACTCAATTGGATAGACCTACAACCAATAAGAGCAACGGAGTGCGTGACGTATGTTAAGCGAGGCATAGTTGTTGTCAACAAAAATCAAAGCGTGCAGTTGCACGCCTAGAATAAGAAGATGAGCCTTGATCGCATTTCTCTGTTCTTCTTTTAAAATTAATTTGCTGTCGATATCTTCTAGAACAGACCTAATAGCAGAATCTACTCACCTCAACTCTCCGGCGGCAGCCATTGTTGTTGTCACCCAAGCGCGCTTTGGTCACGTGGTTGATTATGTTACTGTTGATCATCTGTCCATCATCGTATAAAGCCCGCCCTGACAATTTGATTGGATCGCCAGAGGGTGGGCGATCATATTCGCGCTACTATGGAGCAGAGCCAGACCGAACCTCCCGACCTCAAACCTTGTGGGCGGGACTAAGTTCGGAATGGCACCCAGGCTAAAAAGGAGTAGGCAGAAGCAAAAATCTTATTTGCACCTTTGGTAACGTATAATACATACACACATAGTTTTTGTTTTTTTTAAACCTACCCCTACTCCTGTACTTCATCAGCAGTTCCTATTATCGCTATTAGAATTAAATTAGGTGGAAAAGTAAACAAATCCATGAATGGTGATGCCAACACACCAGGTTAGCGTTGATGATGTCACCAGTGCGACAGAAATCGGGAAAGTAAACAATGGAGAGCAGGATGTAAGGCAGCCATGGTGTAGTCGGTGTGCGTTATTGTTTGGCTCTTTTTTTTTTTTTCTTCCTTCAAAACCCTCTCACCTGTGCTGCGCCTTGTTTATCGAATGCAAGCAGAGTTATTTTAGCTTGTTAAATCACAAGGGACTGGCTCTTAATGGCATCATATAAATTAGCAGGTCAACCTGGGTGTGATGTTCCCACTGTAAGCTGACTGGAGCCGATCCGTTTGACCCGGGTCGACGGGGGTCAGTGAGGTGTCCCACTGCCACTAAAGGCAGAATGTTCCTAGCTTTAAAAACAGGTTTTTTGGCCACTGTGAAAGGGGTAAAAGAACCAATTCATTAACTTTTCACCATTGTTATTTAAAACCAGGATAACAGATTGGGATTAATTAGAGCACCTCTTCTCCTTTTCAGATTTACTATCAGCTTTTTATTCTCTTTTCACCTCAGGTGTCAGTTGGGCTTCTACATGGCAGAGCTTCCCACATCATCTGGCCCCCAAATCGCTGGCAGCGCATAAAACCATCTCTACCCCCAAACAGAGAACCTCTGAATGCTGAAGAAGAAGATGAATAAAAAAACAACTTGTATATGTGAACTGTTTATAATAAAACTTATAACTATTTTTTTTCCTTTGATCATTTGAATAAAGTTTTTCAAATGTATTTTTAATATTAAATTGTCATTATTATTATATCTTATTGTTGGAATTTGTTTTTTATTGCCATCAAATCAAAGACTGGAACAATTTTCTCCATTAGGACTAAAAGCCATGAGCTGCAGGTGATCCATCTGAAGGTCCTCGTTTGAATAAAAAACATTGATTTGTAGTTTTTAGTGTATCTATTATCAAAATAAAATGACAGTTTGATTAAATGAAGAAAACCTATTAAGAGACAAATCTCTAGAAAAACTATTAAGAGGAGACTGTGTGAATCAGGGTTTCATGGTAAAATAGCTGCTAGGAAACTACTGCTAAGGACAGGCAACAGGCAGAAGAGACTTGCTTGGGCTAAAGAACACAAGGAATGGACAATAGACCAGTGGAAATCTGTGCTTTGGTCTGATGAGTCTAAATTTTAGATTGTTGTGAAAAATAGAGGAGGTGGTATGGGGATGCTTTGCTGGTGACACTGTTGGGGATTTATTAAAAACTGAAGGCATACTGACCCAGCATGACTACCACAGCATCTTGCAGCGGCATGCTATTCCATCTGGTTTGTGTTTAGTTGGACCATCATTTATTTTTCAACAGGACAATGACCCCAAAAAGGCTGTGTGAGGGCTATTTGATGAAGAAGGAGAGTGATAGGGTGCTGCACCAGATGACTTGGCCTTCACAATCACCGGACCTGAACCCAATCGAGATGGTTTGGGGTGAGCTGGACCGCAGTGAAGGCAAAAGGGCCAACAAGTGCTAAGCATCTCCTGGAACTCCTTCAAAAAAATGCCAAGAGAGTGCGAAGCAGTAATCAAAGCAAAAGTTGGCTACTTTGAAGACCCTACAGTAGAATGTAAGACAGATTTTTAGTTGTTTCACACTTTTTTGTTAAGTATATAATTCCACATGTTTTAATTAATAGGTTGGATGTCTTCAGTGTGAATTTACATTTTTCATATTCATGAATATAAAGTAAACTCTTTGAATGAGAAGGTGTGTACAAACTTTTGGTCTGTAAGTAAATATATATATTTTGTGCAGTATTGGCTGATACCATCTGTTTTAAATC